TACCACTCCTGGGAATATATCCCAGAGAGGCAAAAAAGTATAGTCGAAGTGACATCTGAACTTGTTTATTCATTGCAGCACTGTTTACAATAGCCAGAAACTGGAAAAAACCTGAATGCCCAAGAACAGATGACTGGTTAAAGAAACTTTGGTACATCTACGCAATGGAGTACTATGTATCTGTTAGAAAAGATGAAGTTATGAAATTTACATACAAGTGGTACTACATGGACAGTATCATGCTAAGCGAAATGAGTCAGAAAGAGAGGGATAGACATAGAAAGATTGCATTCATCTGGGGAACATAAAGTAACAGAATAGGAGACTAACACCCAAGAATAGCTGAGATAAGTACCAGGAGGTTTACTCCATGGTTTGGAGGCCAGCCACACATGCTAGGGGAAAGGACAGCTCAGATAGAGAAGGGAGCACCAAATAAAGGGTGTTGGGAGGATCCTCCCAGGATGGGAGAAGCATACTGAAAGTAGACTATAGACCAAACATGATTGCCACTCAGTGCCTCTTTTGCGGACCACAAAGCCCAAAAGGAGAGAGAGAACAAAAGGGAATGCCCTGCCACGGAGGCAGGGTGGGATGGGGGGGGGGGTATGGGGGGGGGGGAGAATACTGGGATCCGTGATGGTAGAAACTGGGCATTGGTGGAGGGATGGGTATTTGATCATTGTATAACTAAAACCCTTTTAATGTACTTTCAATGTACTGTACTTTTAATGCTCGTACGCTGGCATCTGCTGCATCCATTGAAGACCTTATGGTACAAGCGCGAAAGATCAAGTACGACATCATTGGTCTGACCGAAACGAGAAGACATCAATCCCATCATGCTGTTTTCGACACTGGAGAAGAACTGTTCCTTGGAACGTGATAAAAGAGGCGTCGGTGGTGTCGGTATCCTTGTCAACACAAACTTAGTCACGAGCATTGATTCATTCGAATGCCTAACAACCCGAATCGGACAATTACACTTGAATAAATGTGGCTCACTACCGGCAGTTTCTATCTTTGTTGTCTATGCACCAACATCCAGTTACGGTGAAAGAGAAACTGAGAAATTCTACATAGAGCTAGAGAAGTTCTATAAAGAAGATCACACCTTCTACAAGATCATTGTCGGTGATTTTAATGCCAAGATAGGACCAAGAAGATCAGTCGATGAACTCCACATTGGAACCCATGGCCTGGAATGGAACGAACAGGGTGACAGACGGTCTGAGTTCATCATGTCAACCAAAACCTTCCATGGTAACTCACAATTCCAAAAGACTGAATGTAAACGTTGGACATGGGAGTCTCCCGATGGACGGTTCCACAATGAAATAGACCACATCATATTCAATCAGCGGTTTTGCCTAACTGATGTTGCTGTTGTCCCAAAATTCCAAATGGGATCAGACCACCGTCTTCTTCGTGCAAAATTCTACCTCACAGAATGAGGAGAAAAGAATGCAAGGTTTAAGAAGAGGACTCCCAGAACAACCACCAACTGGGAGCTCTTTGGCTCTATTGTGGCAACATGGAAAGATGCCGTCATTGACAACATTGATTAGGAATACGATCGAATGATTCAGCACCTCCATGATTGTGCAAGGAATGCCAAGAGAGAGATAACCACAAAAAACCGTCTTTCTTCGAACACTCTTGAACTTATTCGCCAACGTGGCTTGGCACATGCCTCAGGCAACCACAAGCGAACATCTGAACTGGCAAAGCAGTGCAGAGAAGCCATCAAGGATGACCTCAAAAACAGGAGAGCAGCATTACTGGTAGATGCAGCAGAAGCTGGGAAAAACATTCGTAATGCCCGCCTGTCCTTCACCAACTACAAAACCAAGATGACTGCCTTCCGACATCATGATGGATCTATCACATCTTCCAGAAGGGCAATGGAGAAGATTATTCATGACTTCTACTCAGATCTCTTTAATAGCCACATCCACTTGCCCACATACCACATACCACTGATGGATATGTCGTTCCCAATGTTCTCCCTTCCGAAATCCAACATGCCATCTCGTCGGTAAAGAAACAAAGAGCACCTGGCCCAGACAAGATCAGACCTGAACACCTGAAGAACTTACCATCAGTACTCATCAATACATTGGCTCGACTCTTCACACGCTACCTGTCTGAATGCAAGGTTCCATCCCAATGGAAAACCAGCAAGACTGTACTACTATACAAGAAAGGAGACATCCACGACATTGGCAACTATCGCCCAATCTGCCTATTGTCTGTCATCTACAAACTATTCACTCGAGTCATCCTGAATAGGATTAGCAGAACACTAGATGAAGGACAACCATGTGAACAAGCTGGATTCCGAAAAGGATTCAGTACCATCGACCATATCCACACAATAACCAAGCTCATTGAGGTATCTCGGGAGTTCAAGATGCCACTCTGTCTAACATTCATTGATTTAAAGAAGGCCTTTGATTCTGTTGAGACGGAAGCGGTCATGGAAGCCCTAGCCAATCAGGGCGTACAAACTCAATACATCAGAATCCTTCGTGAGCTCTATTGCGGATTCACTACCAAGATCTCACCATTCTACAAAGAAGTAATCATCCATATAAAGAGAGGGGTTCGGCAGGGTGATACCATTTCACCAAAACTCTTCAGTGCCACCCTCGAGAACATCATGCGACGACTAGAATGGGAAAACATGGGAGTGAAGATAGATGGTCGGCAACTACACCAGCTCCGCTTTGCTGATGACATCGTTCTAATAACACCAAACATCAGCCAAGCAGCACAAATGCTGGCCGACTTTGACCGTGAGTGTGGAAAGGTAGGACTACAGCTGAATCTTACGAAGACAATGTTTATGAGAAACAGCCTTGTTCCTGACGCTCCATTCGCTCTCAACGGAACCACCATCTCCGAATGCAACAGTTATATATACCTAGGTCGAGAAATCAACATGATGAATGACCTGGCACCTGAGTTGCGCAGGAGGAAGAGAGCGGCTTCGAATGCCTTCAAGAGCATTGAAGAAATAACTAAAAGGACAAAGAACCTCCAGCTCCGGGCACATCTCTTTGATTCCACTATTCTTCCTGCATTAACATATGCCTCAGAGACCTGGACCCTACGAAAACAGAATGAGAACGCTATTCGGGTCTCTCAAAGAGGAATCGAAAGAACCATGCTTGGAATATCACGATTCACTCAAATGAGAGATAGAATCCGGAGTTCTGATCTCGTCAACACTCAAGAATCAGGTATGCTGTCTCATTTGCCAAGACATCAAAAATCAGATGGGCTGGACACGTAATGAGGTTTACAGACAACCGCTGGACTAGAGCCATTACTGATTGGATACCACGGGACATCAAAAGATCACGTGGATGCCCACCTATAAGATGGTCAGACTTCTTCGTCAAGACCCTGAATGATCGGTTTGAGGCTCTGCATGTTCCTAGAACGAACAGATACCATTGGGCTACGCTAGCACGCAACCTGGATGAATGGAGACGTTACTGGCACCTACTCTAATATATCAATGAATAACGGGGATTAAGTGATTAAGTGATTAAGTGATAACTAAAACCCAAGCACAAAAATTTGTAAGTCTACAACTGTACCTCATGGTGTTTCACTAATAAAAATTAAAATATTAATAAATAAATAATTTCATGGTTTCTGCATTCTCAGCTCCTCTGGAAATTGTAGGCATACAATGAACACTGTGAATAGTTTTGGAATAAATAAGTTCTCTCCTAAAAAAAAAAAAGAAAATTTAGTTCAATGAAGTAGTTGAACAGAATGGATAAACAAGATGAAGAACTCTCCCAAGTTTCATACACATTAGTCCTCAAACATTACTCCAAGTAGTAGTAATCCCATCAACAGCCAAGACCCAGAGACTACAAAACCCAGCTCCTGGAAGCACGCAGCCACATTCATGGCCGTGCAACATTTTATTATCTCATTGTTACTTTTGGACAACCTGGCAGGCTACCGAATGTAACCTGCCCACATGGCAAAGTCTGGCAAACTCCACGTGGCGTACCCAATATGCCAAATACCAATAATAATGATGGATCTCATTCTTCTAACCCTGAAAGAGCCTTGAATATGGCAATTTAAAATCTCAGGGCTAGGACAAAGGAGACGGTACTGGTGCCTGCTCGAGGCAATCGACGAACAACAGGATGATCGTGATTGTGACTACTCCAAGTGGTGTTCAGGCAGGGATAAGCCAAAATAAATTGACGATGTAAAATTTAAAAGGTAAAGGTAAAGGCCCTCCCGTTGATCGTCGATTTGCTCGAGCGGGCCCAGTAACGTCTCCATTGGAGACTTTGTTGTTACTGTGTTTGGCATATCGAATACGTCACGGGGAGCTTGCCAGGGTCTGCCGTGAAATTTAAGTAAAAAAAAAAAATGATATCGTGCTGTTAGAGTCCATGATTGATAATCTCCCTCTCTGAACCACAAAAAAAGTCCAGGCAGTAATGCAAAACACAAGCGGAGTTTATTCAAGCCAGCTAGCTGGGGTCAAGCTCTTGGGCACAGAGGTCAAACCAAGACCCTGAGCAGGGGAGAAGCTGCAAGTTTTATAGTCAGCGTATGCATCATAGCCCACGCTTAACAGTTTGAAAGAGAGATTTATGTAAAAATACAAGATCCAACCTAGTTTCAAACAGCACAATGAGCCATTACAGACAGGTTGTCTTATCCTGATCATTTTCACTGCCATTTTGGCAGTTGTTCCCTCTTCCCCTGCTCCCAACTGGGTGGTTTCTGGGAACCAGGGCCGAGTTATCAGCCGAAGCGGGGCGGGGGGGGGGGGGCGGGAATGAAGCAGAATTCTAAGAACCAAGACTGAGTCTTCAGCCCAGCTGTCCTCCTTTTGCAGTTGGCCAGGGGGGAATAGGAGCAAAATCCCGAGAAAGCCAAAATGTAGGGGTACGGAGCAGGGGCTAAAAAATGGAGTCCATTCTAGAATCTGTTCTCCCGCTCAATACCCAACAGTGCTCGCTCCTGCAGCACACATACTAAAATTGGAACGATACAGAGAAGATTAGTATGGCCCCTGTGCAAGGATGACATCCAAATTCACGAAGTATTTATATTTTTTATTGTATGATGGAAACATAAGCACGAAAGTTTGTAAAGTCTATAACTCTATCTCACAGTTATTCATTTAAAAATAATTTTTTTAGAAAAAGAATATTATATTTTCTGAGATACAGATTGATGCACAAATATTCGGTTAGGCAGTCTGAGGTGCTGCCATAAGAAACTCGAAAGGTATTATGGTTCATGGAGGATCACAGACTCACCAGGTCTAGAGACCAAGAGCAGTCGGTTCAGCTTCCTTTTATTTGTTGGATTATTATAATCCTTTCCAGTGAAATTTAAGTGTAGGAAGAATCAGCGATGAAATTCAATAGTGTAGGAAGAACAAAGAACCTGGAGTTACCCCAACACATGATCAATTATATAGGAAGAAAAACCTGGTTAGCTCTAAGAAAAAAAACATGGTGAGTTACAGAACTGAAAACATAGTCAATTGCATAGGTCACGTGTTCCTCACTCCTAAAAACATTGTCAATTACATAACATCACAACCTCCTCACACCTGAGGTCTAATAAATAGGAGAGGATATTTACATCTAAAGTTTACCTAGGTCTGAAATACGTGACAAGGGGAAGCAGAGGTTTTGTGCTGCAGGAGTTTGTTGGTCACAGAGGGTTAGTTTTGCCTTTTCCATATCAATCAGACTCTCAAGCTTACGCTCACCCACTTAGTGCAATGTGGGGTCCTGTTTCTGCTTCCTGCTTTCAGGGCAGCATCCAAGGACTCATCTTCATGATCTGGTTGGCACCAACAACAGATACATCTTAGATTTTTTTACATATCTATAAATATGCGTAGATAACTAAAGAGTTAATAAAGACAATCATTGTTAAAACTGATTTCAATTAAAAAGGATGTCACAAGCTGATACATGCAACATTAAGTATCAACAATAATACTTCTATGCATTTATTTAATAACACTATTTTAATATCTATAAAAATCTGTCATAAATAGGAAAAATATCATAGAATTGTAGTTAGAGATTTTAGTATACACCCACAATTATTTGATGACTGTCACTGTCCTCCCGTTGTTCATTGATTTGCTCGAATGGGCCCAGTAACATTGTGAGACTTGATGTTACTGTGTTTGTCTTATCGAATATGCCACGGGGAGCTTTCCAGGCTCTGCTGTGCAGGCGAGATACTCTTGGTAGCTTGCCGGGCTCTCCGAAAGGGGCAGAGGAATCAAACTCCGGTCGGCCAGGTTGGCCACATGCAAGGCAAACGCCCTACCGGCTGTTCTATCGCTCCAAACAGAGCTGTTAAATTAAAAATAAGGTATTTTGCAGGGATTCAAGAGATAGTACAGAGGAACCCAGTTTGAATTCTGATACCACAGAATCCTCCCTCCAGCATCACTGGTTGTCACCCTGAAGATGTCCAAGCACCACTAGTGTGGTTCAGATGATCTAAGAGGCTGCAGGGCTCAAGCAACACTGCATCCTAGTACCCTCATGTTGAATTATTATCCTCATTGACTGAGTTAACTTGGTGCCCTCTGAGAGCCACCTGAGCGATCCACCTGCAAAAGAAAGATATTTGCAGTATCTGAAAATAACTATACATCCTTGCATAATCTCTAGGTGGGGGGGCGGCGACAGCTCTCCCCCGCATGCCCTGGTTGGGTGGTCTCCAGCAGATACCCCGGCTGGGGCGGCCCGTGCCATGGGGCAGATGGAGGAGCAAACCGGCCAAGCCGGTTGAATGATCAATTGCAGTTTATTCCATTCTCCCCATAGCCTATTCCAGTGTCTCTGAGATCCCCATTCTAGTTTCACACTGCCCCTCATTCCTGTCTCCTCCTGTCTCTCCAGCTCATCTCTCAGAGCTCCATCTTATGGCCCAGTTCTCTCTCTCATCTCCCTCCAACTCTCTCTCATCTCTCTCCCGTTCTCCAGCACTAGGGGCAGACACTATGCCCAGTCAGGTACAAAATCAACATAAGAAAGTCCTTCCTGATGGCCCCTCAGGCTCACGGGCAGAAATACCACCTTGGGGTATTTCCTCTTCTCCTTAGTCCAATAACTTAATTAACATCTTAATTCTACTTCTTAATATTAGCTATTTTTGTATGGGCACAGTAAGAGATACATTGAGGCGTATAGAGCAGCTCTCCTGGGGATATCTTGCAACAGACTCAGACTACAGTACTCAGGCCATATTAATGTTTCCTAACCCTAGCAGGGTCCAAATCTAGTTATTACTTTTTGGATCACGAAAGAATTTGTCCATGACCATGCTCTTAACTTATAGTTAAGTATAAGGACGCTTTGACCAGGCCCATTTCGATGCCAGGGTAGCACAGAGTTCACCACTTGCCCTGGGTCCATCTAGTCCCTCATCAGGATACTGCTTTTAGGGTGCTAGGAAGTAAAAGCAACTGAGGCTTAGAGAGAACTTAGAACAGATGTCCAGAGGCAACTAACTAACATTCAGAGTCAGTTAACTTCCAAGTTACGAAAGCATAGCATTAGCTATCTTCTTGTGCCCATACAAAAAAGACATTGCTCTGAATAAACTATGCAAAGGACTTAAAGAGATGAGAAAAAATAATATTTACAAGTCAACAGTGCACAAAGAAAGAAGTTATAAATAAACATAGAGGAATGGGAGCACTGTAATGAGAGTAACCCAATGAACCTAAGCTCCCTGTGGCAAAGCAGAAAGGACAAATCAATGTTATCCTACACATCCTGAGCACTTTGATTGTAGTAAGGTGAGTTAATGCACACATCAATGTCACGGTCATGGTCATGGCCCTCCCGTTGTTCATCGATTTGCTCGAGCGGGCCCAGTAACATTGCGAGACTTGTTACTGTATTTTTCATATCTAATAGGTTACGGGTAGCTTGCCAGGTTTGGCCGTGCAGGCGAGATACTCTCAGTAGCTTGCCGGGCTCTCTGAGAGGGGCAGAGGAATTGAACTCAGGTCAGCCATGTTGGCTGCGTGTAAGGCAAACGGCCTACCCGCTGTGCTATCGCTCCAACCCATGTCATAAATGTGAAAACTATTGTAATCATATTATCCTAAACTATGATATTAAAAGTATAAGAGGAAAAATAAAAATAACCATATGTATATAATCCACCACATATGCATGAATACAATATGGGTAAATATTAATGTAAGAAATATATATTAAAATTCTGTGACTTATGTACTCTGAAATGTATGTATATAACAATAAAAGGATATAATCTTTATGAATGTGTCCATAACTAAGTCCATACATTCATGAGATTAGCAATGATGAGCAGATATTTGGAGTTAAGGTCTAGAATGGAATATAATTATGATTATAATTGCATTAATAGATAATAATTTAATAAATTATATCGGTCAAACTAAGAAGTGAAATACATTGCTTTGGAAGAGTAAGAATAAATTATTTCTGTAGAAAGTGAATGCTAACTATTTAATAGAAGCAAGGACAACTAAACTAAAGCTTCAAGAAATAACATGGTGAAAGAAAGATGGCGGCTGCATGGGAGCCTGGTGGAGAGCAGGTCTGAGCCGGGGGTGGGGGCGCGATGGATACCTCATGGGACGGGGGGCGCTCCGGCCCATCCTTCACGCCCGACCGAGGTCACCAGTTGCCCCCCACGAGCGGCTCTCTGGCACGGCCACGGCCCCAGAAGCACAGAGACCAATCTCTTAATTATCTGACTCTCAGTAGAAATACTTGCAGGGTTAATAAATAAAATAGCAGAAATCCAAAACCGCGCAGCCGCTATCGCGGCCGCACGACATCATTTAATTCTTGAACCCAGCTGTAGAAAGCAAATCATTTCACAATGCTTTTTTTCAGCATGGCTGAGTTTGGGGAGGGGGTAAAGTCTAAATAATAATGGTACAACTTTTATCCAAACAATGAAGCTAGTCAAAGTAGACAGAGTGTTAACTAGAATTCATCTACCCCACAGACATTGGGGGAGGGGGGTTATTGGGGTTCTTCGCGGTGAAAAATAAGTATTGTTAGTAAAGGGAATTGTGATTGATATTTGCATGACTGAGACCTAAACTTGAAAGCTCTGTAATTTTTCCCACAGCAATTCAATAAATAAATAAATAAATAAATTTTTAAAAAAATTTTTAAAAAAAGAAATAACATAATACTAGGTTGAGAATGCAAGAAAGAAATAATTCCATGTTATAGAGCCTTATGCATAAAGTCATGGTCAAGAAAGAGAACATCATGTTCAGAAAACCGTAAGTATATGGTGTGTGTCTTGTAAGCGAGGACTGATAGTTAAAAATAGGAGATGCATTGCTGATGTCAAAGCCAGAGTGATAGATTAAGTCCAGATTGTGAAGCCCTTTGCATGTCCTACTGTGAAGCCACAAAAACTCTAGAGAAATGGGAATATGGACTATATTGACTATTGGTGACTTTTGAAGCCACATGAAAAATTTCCAAGCTGTCACAAAGTAGCCAGGCTGTCAAGATTCCAGAACTGGGGCACAATCAAACCGAAATGAGTTAGCTAAAATGAGGCTTTCATGAAGAATGTCCCTGTCACTCTGTCTGGGGTGGCATCTGCTGTAACTAGAGACTAGCAAGTCAACAGACACTTTGATCATCAAATGATTTATGTCAGCCATCATGTGTTGGAGTAGTACTCACACATCTGTCATCAGGACAAAGTGGTATAAAAGTGATTTTAATTACCTATTGATTATAAATAAAATGCTTAGTGCATCATGGAGATAAATTATGTGATCACTGTTAATTTGAAGATTGTATTATGAAGGACAAAACAAACCCCCAGTGAACTAGGGGGAAAAGCTATTTCACGAATATAAAGAGGAGAGTTTTAATGACAACATTAAATGACAACATTCATCCTTGGTAAGACAAGACCTCTGTTCAGTAAAAAGCCAAACTTGTTATTCTGATTTCTGTCCTCTATTAATTCAATAAACTGCAGAAGATATTGATGAAATAAGAAAGTTATAAGAAAAGGACTTGTGAATGTCAAATGATTAAAAAA